TGTCCTGTCAGGCGCTTTGACAGATGCGCATGATGTTTAATGTGTGATATAATTCCTCGGCGCAAAACTTTCATTTTACGGTTATATTCTTATCTGTAAATGTTACATATTGAAGCAAGCAAGTGTTTCTATTTTGCATGAAGGCTCATCCTGACAGTCTGCGTTAAACTTCAGACTTCACTGAATGAGCGCCGGCACGCATGCGCGTCAAACAAACGGAACGCAGTATAGAGGAAGACAATTAACATTCAGCGCAAAAATATTAATTTTGCTGATGTATCTGTTACTGGATGTTAAATTTAGGTTTAAAAGTCAACATGTAATTCAAGTATTTTATGATAGTAACTGTAAAGGGATAACAGTGTGCGATTGAATATAAATGTAAGACGTTTCTGACATTTACAGACTAAAGAAATGACAGTAAGAGGTTACTGTGTTCAGAGTGAATGTGTGTGTTCTTGCAGAACATTTGTCCTATTTGTTAACACAGAATTTGTGCTTTTAGTTGCAGCCCTAATAATTAATTCCATTTATTGTGATTAAAGCAGTCAAGTCATAATGTAAGCAGTCTGATTTGAAAGCCTTACAGAACTGGATATGTTATGAAGAACTCATGTGTTTGTGCTCATTTAGGTTCAAGCACAGGTGATCCATGAGACGGTGGTGCCCAAGGAGCCTCCACCTGAGTTTGAGTTCATTGCCGACCCTCCCTCCATCTCAGCCTTTGATCTGGATGTAGTGAAGCTGACCGCACAGTTTGTCGCCCGAAATGGCCGCCAGTTTCTCACGCAGCTGATGCAGAAGGAGCAGAGGAACTTCCAGTTTGACTTTCTTCGACCACAGCACAGCTTGTTTAACTACTTTACAAAACTGGTGGAGCAATATACAAAGGTACGGCAGCGATGCAAAGAACAAATCAGATTGAGGTGGCTAAAGAGAGCGGAGTATTGTGGGATTCACTTAAATTATTGGCTTCTTGCAGGTTTTAATCCCTCCAAAAGGTCTTTTTCTGAAACTGAAGAAGGAAGCCGAGAATCCTCGTGAGGTCTTGGACCAGGTAATTATAACAGCCATTCCAGATCACACATAGTGGATAAGATGTCTACATAAGATATGCCTAATATGACGGTGGTGTATTATGTTGATTCAGGTGTTTTAAAACCAATAGAGAGAATTTACGGTGAATCAAAGAGTTTTAGATATATTACATGCCATATTATAAGCAAATACACCACTTCATTCCCCAATATTTTAGGTGAGGTATCGTGTGGAGTGGGCCAAGTTCCAGGAAAGAGAGAGGAAGAAGGAAGAGGAGGGTGGAGTGGGCCAAATTCCAGGAGCGAGAGAGGAAGAAGGAAGAGGAGGAGCGAGAGAAGGAGAGAGTGGCTTATGCTCAGATTGACTGGCATGACTTTGTGGTGGTGGAGACTGTGGACTTTCAGCCACATGAGCAAGGTGAGCATGTGTAATTAACACAATAATGTGTGATTTCAAATATTTCAAGATTTTTATTTGCACAAACATACTGTTGCATCAGAAAAATGCTCTTTATTTTGTTAATGGCAAAAATGTATTCCCAGAACTTTGGTTCAGTTAGCCAGCTACAGACACAAACTCAACTCACTGGCTTCTCTTCTGAATGATTTCACACGAGTCTCTTCAGACCTTAGAACTGTACATGAATTATGAGCTTCTAGAACTTCTGATTGAAGCTGTGCGTGACCTCCTAACTGAACTCCATTCCACAAAACAGTATAAATAACAGAAATAAATAACAGTTTTTTCTTAGTCGTAAGTGCAAACAATAAGTGCAACCATAATAAA